AATATTACTAAGACTAAAGCAAAAATATTTCTTTTAATGAAAAATAATAAAACAAGCAATGTACTTTATAGCATTAAGCATAATACTGTGAAAGAAGTAAGCATGTTTGACGAGCCATTCGGCGCCGTAAACACAGGTCGATGTTCTTCGCTTAAAATACTTCCAATCATTTCATTTTCTTCAGTATAACACTGTTTGCATTCCTTAGATAGTCTTTTGTGATTGCAGAGCCGTATATAATTCGCTTATTCACGATAGGAAGATTCACGATAAATAACGCTCAACATCATTTAGTGTTTCTATACCGCGAATGACACGTGGATTTGTAAGAGATTTGAGCTTATTTGTAGTAGCTAGATCCGTGATTTCTATCTCTAAACGATCCTTAAACTAAGTGCGAAATGAAGCGCGAGGCAAGCTTAGAATCGTTGCTTAGGAACATGAATGACAATAACACAATAGAAAAGGTCCCGGATATACCACTTTGAAGCATGTTGAAGGAAAGTCGTCGGTAATTTTAGACATGGTCTTCCACAGGAAGCTCATGTAAAAAGGCGACTTTGATTATTTTATAGGCATCTTTTTTAAAGTATTTATTTTCTTGGCCTGAGAGGTCAACAATTTGAATTAAAAACGTATTAGATATGATATCACCATGCTTTTATTATCTATGATATCACTTAGCGACATCTTGTCTGGCTACCAGGTATTAATTACATGACCTTTTAGGTCAAAATTTAGATTTCTATCGTTTTGAAGTCGTTGCAGAGAGCAGTCAAAAGGAATATTGTATCGTGTGAATAAACGGTAACGCATTCTTGCTTTTCACTATGTATTAGAAGTAAAAATATAATATTCTACGCCTTAAYATACATTCAAAAATAGCTAGTCCGACTTCACGCTCCAAGAGCGTCTAGTTTTCGGAGACAYTTGAGCCCACCGTCTCAATGGGCTGCAGTTATTGTTGACAGTGCATGTCTGTCAGCCGCAGGARCTCTAATCAAAATGGCGGACGAAGAAGAAGATGAAGATGTTTGTGATAGTTGGGAGGATATGGCCGATTCTGGGGTAAGATGATCCCCCCAARAAACAAGAAACACGATCATGTTAACCAAATATTGCCTTTATTTTTAGGTGATTTTTCMCTAATTCGATAATATAGAAACAAGATAAAAATCGGGTAATTCGTCGGCAAGTTCCTATTCTGCAAAGCGAAAAATGCTCGATCACCGATTTATGTGCAATTTAAAGTACATCATAGSATTCGATTGTGAGTGACTTGTTCAATTTATATAAATCACTAATAATTTTTGAGTAGAACTTTCATAAAGATACAGTAGAACAGAAATTGACCAATGCACAGCGGCTGTTCTTCACTAATAAGCTTAAGCTTTTAAAGAGTTTGAAAACTTGAATCATCCGCCACAGAGTATTCTCCCCTATCTACTTCTGTTTATTTGCGACACGTGTCTTTAAATTGATGGTGAATAAATCAAAGTTGTAAGCTTACAATTTGCTTATATAATGCATGGGAATATATTAAAGTAAATCTGTGTTGATCATGTTTATATCAACATTTGGGCCCTTTTCAAAAATGATTGATTGTATAGCTTTAATAAATAATACTTTAAGCAACCTCAAAAAACAAGTGCTTTCAATTTGATGAAGGTCCTGAGGTGCATTCAATTATATCTCAATGGCTAAAGATAAATTTGGCACATATAACATTTTCATCTTTGTTATTATTATAATTTGTATCCAGTGAGACTGTTTACTTGTATCAGGAAATACTCTAATACTAATAAGTGAGGACCAGTACAATACTTTTAAAATGCTGAGAAGTATTCAATAGCAGGTCATTCAAAGTATTGACAGATATACAAGATGAATAGTCGCATTGTACTGATAGAAACCTATCCTCAGTCTCTGTAGCCTAACAAAATAGAAAATCAAWTAGAAAATGCGTTATAAAACCTGTAAATTTTGTGCTATTTTGCAAGTGTAAAGTAATTTTTCCATAAATGAAAATGTTTCCRGATTTCACATGTAATTTTYGAGATTTAAAGGAGGGAATTTATTAAGGCTGCTGAAGATATGGAGCTGGAACTTCATTGTTATGGAAATATATTTGATTGATGTCAACCAAATCAAATTTCCAATGTATTTTTGACTCTTTATGTGTAATCAGTTACAACTGCATGCATTCAAATCTTGTTGCTGCCTGTACTGCAAATATTAGTCAGAAACATAAAATTAAAAAGTAATTTTAGACAATGTAAAGTGTTGTGCAACAATTAATGATAATTNACATGACCTTTTAGGTCAAAATTTAGATTTCTATCGTTTTGAAGTCGTTGCAGAGAGCAGTCAAAAGGAATATTGTATCGTGTGAATAAACGGTAACGCATTCTTGCTTTTCACTATGTATTAGAAGTAAAAATATAATATTCTACGCCTTAACATACATTCAAAAATAGCTAGTCCGACTTCACGCTCCAAGAGCGTCTAGTTTTCGGAGACATTTGAGCCCACCGTCTCAATGGGCTGCAGTTATTGTTGACAGTGCATGTCTGTCAGCCGCAGGAACTCTAATCAAAATGGCGGACGAAGAAGAAGATGAAGATGTTTGTGATAGTTGGGAGGATATGGCCGATTCTGGGGTAAGATGATCCCCCCAAGAAACAAGAAACACGATCATGTTAACCAAATATTGCCTTTATTTTTAGGTGATTTTTCACTAATTCGATAATATAGAAACAAGATAAAAATCGGGTAATTCGTCGGCAAGTTCCTATTCTGCAAAGCGAAAAATGCTCGATCACCGATTTATGTGCAATTTAAAGTACATCATAGCATTCGATTGTGAGTGACTTGTTCAATTTATATAAATCACTAATAATTTTTGAGTAGAACTTTCATAAAGATACAGTAGAACAGAAATTGACCAATGCACAGCGGCTGTTCTTCACTAATAAGCTTAAGCTTTTAAAGAGTTTGAAAACTTGAATCATCCGCCACAGAGTATTCTCCCCTATCTACTTCTGTTTATTTGCGACACGTGTCTTTAAATTGATGGTGAATAAATCAAAGTTGTAAGCTTACAATTTGCTTATATAATGCATGGGAATATATTAAAGTAAATCTGTGTTGATCATGTTTATATCAACATTTGGGCCCTTTTCAAAAATGATTGATTGTATAGCTTTAATAAATAATACTTTAAGCAACCTCAAAAAACAAGTGCTTTCAATTTGATGAAGGTCCTGAGGTGCATTCAATTATATCTCAATGGCTAAAGATAAATTTGGCACATATAACATTTTCATCTTTGTTATTATTATAATTTGTATCCAGTGAGACTGTTTACTTGTATCAGGAAATACTCTAATACTAATAAGTGAGGACCAGTACAATACTTTTAAAATGCTGAGAAGTATTCAATAGCAGGTCATTCAAAGTATTGACAGATATACAAGATGAATAGTCGCATTGTACTGATAGAAACCTATCCTCAGTCTCTGTAGCCTAACAAAATAGAAAATCAAWTAGAAAATGCGTTATAAAACCTGTAAATTTTGTGCTATTTTGCAAGTGTAAAGTAATTTTTCCATAAATGAAAATGTTTCCRGATTTCACATGTAATTTTYGAGATTTAAAGGAGGGAATTTATTAAGGCTGCTGAAGATATGGAGCTGGAACTTCATTGTTATGGAAATATATTTGATTGATGTCAACCAAATCAAATTTCCAATGTATTTTTGACTCTTTATGTGTAATCAGTTACAACTGCATGCATTCARATCTTGTTGCTGCCTGTACTGCAAATATTAGTCAGAAACATAAAATTAAAAAGTAATTTTAGACAATGTAAAGTGTTGTGCAACAATTAATGATAATTAAAGTTAATAATATAATAGTTTATTTATATATACTCTGAAGTTCCGAATAATCGTATATATACGCTTATTTATTTTGGCAAAATATTCCACTCTATACGGCCTTATTTGGGACTGTACGATTATTAATTTTCACAATTTTTTTCTCTGTGCCTACCTTAATTAGTTATTAACAATATCGTGAGAAAAAAAATTGAAAAAAGTTGCCAAAAAGACAGACTTTTTGTCTCTAAAACGAAAACAAAACTGCGAACGAACAGCAAACTAAGAGCACAAATCATCTGGTCAGCGGATTTGATCACAGGGGAAACTGGGGAGAAGTCAGCGGTTTTGCCAAAAAAATGCGGGAAAACTGCCAGTACTGCCGTTTTTTCCACCCTATACTATTATTCCGATCTATACTATTATTGGTAAATTTGTATTTTTCCACTCTATACTATTATTATGCTCTATATGATTATTCGGAACTTCAGAGTAGCTTACTTTCCTATAAGTGACCAAATATGCTGAACAATAATAAGAAATTAATTTTGAATTAATAATAATAACAAAATAGATAAAAACACAACTAATGAAGAAACAAAGAATGATGGKAGTTTTTCTTTTCATGTCTATTATCAATCATGGTCCTTTTAAACTGTTCTTGCTTTTCAAAAATAGATTATGTACATGTATATGTAGTTGTGCTATTTCTACAAAGARAACATAAAAATGACTGGCTTTTAGGGATGTCATTCAGRGGCTATGAAAAGGGTTAGGAMTACAACTATGATTACTTTGTTTTACAAAATTTTGTTGCTGMATATTGCTTTATATGAAATGGTTTATATTGCACATGGTTAAGTTCTAACTAATAGAAGTGTCATTCTTTTCTTGAAGGAGCTTGAGAGGAGAATGGAAGAAAGAAACAAGCTTCAGATGAAAAAAGAGAGCAAAGCATTGTAAGAAACCAAGCATAATAGTTTAAAATTCACATTGCATAGGTCTTTAAAAAAGTTTCAATAGGGCATGTTTTATTGTTTGATTAGAGCAGGTGACAATCTTTATATCTGACAAATCATGAGAGAAAAGAAAGAATACTATAACCATACAATTACTTTTGTCAAGGTTCACGATTAATGCAAATACATGCTCCTTGCTCATTGTAATTTTAAGCTTACAGCATTTTTTATTATTTCATTATAGTTTGATGTATTCATTGTATTGGACTATTATTTGCTATCTGCCCAAATTTGCTATGCACCCAAATTCACAGTGTATATTTCAATTTGCTGTTGCTCTATTGAAGCTGTTTGTTCTTTGGCACAATGCACTATGGCCTGATTAATGAAAGTACAAAATAGAGTATGCATGTCTTGAAAATGCGGGATGGGTGGGAAATGAATAGTAGTTAGTTTTACATCATGAGAAAAAAAAAATTTCAAATGCATAAAATGTACATAATTACATTCAGGACTAGTGATGTAAAAGTTTCTGTTGTGATACAAGATGATACCAACAGAACACAGTATAAACCACAGGTAAGTGTTATAATGTATAAATGAAAGTCAAATAAATTATTTAGTGAATGAGTAGGTTTACAAAAATGTTTTCAACAATGCATGTATGGGTCAATCCTTATAAAATAAATTTTGTTATTTCAAACAAACAATCAGCTCATTCACATTGTTGCT